GCAATGGCAAGCTTCATGGAACAGATAAGAGGGGGAAGAGCAAAATTTAATCCTGAAAGAGTTGTTTTAACTGCTGGTGCAACAGCAGCCAATGAGCTATTAACCTTCATTTTGGCTGATCCTGGGGATGCATTGCTGATTCCAACTCCTTACTATCCCGGGTACGAAATATACACAGCATATTTGGTATACAGTACTCAACTCGACTAGAGACTAACTTATGGGTTTTGTATGTCACAGGTTTGATAGAGACTTGAGGTGGAGAACTGGGGTCAAGATCCTACCAATTAAATGTGACAGCTCAAACAAGTTTGAGATTACTCCTGAAGCTTTAGAAGCAGCATATAATGAAGCTGAATCCATGAACATCAAAGTTAGAGGAGTACTCATTACAAATCCATCAAATCCATTAGGTTCGACAGTTAAGCGATCTCTCCTCGAGGAGATTCTTGAATTCGCTACGCGTAAGAACATCCATCTTATTTCTGATGAAATCTATTCAGGGTCAGCATTTTCTTGTACTGAATTTGTCAGCATTTCCGAAGTTCTTGAAGCTCGAGGATACAAAGATGCCGAAAGAGTTCATGTTTTTTATAGCCTTTCGAAGGACTTAGGCCTCCCGGGTTTTCGAGTTGGGACTATATACTCATACAATGACAAAGTTGTGACAACTGCAAGAAGAATGTCCAGTTTCACTTTAATTTCTTCTCAAACACAACAACTTTTAGCTTCAATGTTGTCGGACAAGGAATTTACACAAAATTACATAAAAATTAATCGAGAAAGGCTGAGAAAACGATATGAAATAATCATCGATGGTTTGAAGAAGGCTGGAATCAAATGTTTGAAAGGAAATGCTGGACTGTTTTGCTGGATGAATTTAAGTCCTTTGTTGGAGAAACCTACAAAAGAGCATGAATTGGATCTTTGGAAGTCTATATTGCATGAAGTGAAATTAAACATTTCTCCGGGTTCGTCTTGCCATTGTTCGGAGCCTGGTTGGTTTCGAGTTTGCTTTGCAAACATGAGCGAGCAAACACTAGAATTTGCACTCAGAAGAATAAATGATTTCATGGAAAGAAGAAAATGCATGAGGAGTACTACATAATAAAATTTTCACCTCACATAATTTTTTTTGGTCCAATGCAAGAACTGGCTAGTCTCTTAAAGGAAATATTTTGTGCATCTTTGGATCACGCTCGATACAAATTTTGCTAGATAATTTGACTTTGCATTTAAGTGAAACATCGTTAAATGTCGTTTAACTGTCACTTGGACCGATGCTAAACACCAATGGTGATGAATATCATTACTCTTTTTCTTATGAACTTGTATTGTGGAAAAATCCATAATTGTAAGCTCAACAACATTAAGAGCTGCTTGGAATGAAAAGAAAGAACTTTCATTTTCTTCAATATTGTAATTAGGATCTAACCTATTGTTGTTTAATTATCAATAACAGATAACAATAACCTTATTATTGTTGGTAAATTTAATCGGTAGCGTATGGAGTGGAACCAGACTCTCATATACCTTATTTGTGTTTTGTACATCGGATTCACACTTACTGTATTTGGCAATTGCTTACCATATATGGCAGTGCAAGTCATCGTATTTGATAGTGCAACTCACCGTATTTGCAAGTCATCGTATTTGACAGTGTAACTCACTGTATATGATAGCTTACTGTATTTGCAGGCGAAACTCAGAGTATTTGTAAAAAAAATTTGCATAAAGTGTTTTTATTCATACACTAACTAAAATAACACAAAACTTTCCACTTATAAATAGAAATACTTTATATGTGAAATATATTTTTCACAAATATAACGAATTAGAAAAAACAGTTTATTTTATTTATCTATTTCTAACATAAATTCCAAGTACGTTGCAAAATAAATAAATAAATATGCAAAATTGCAAACTAAATAAATAGCATATATAATTTCAACCTGACGTCTGTGTAAACACAGTTTCTTTTAGACAAATTCGCCCCCTTACCATGGTTCTAAAGGTTTGGTTCGATCGTCTGTCTCCCAGGATACAATGGTAACCAGCAGAATCCGAGCACCGCGATTCAACTCCAATGAACTGGGTGAGTGTTCGATTAATATCACCTTATTGGAATGAGACGGAACAAAACAGAGATAGGAAGGAAATTGCGGACAAAAATTTTCAGTGTATGAACTGCTGAAAATTGAGTGAATTATATAGACTAAATCTTACCATTAGTTTTCTGCATTAACCATTGTCGTTTTTGGAGTTACACTTCGGTTTCGACCATTGGAGTTTTGGAGTTTCAGACACTCAAAAGTCATTTGGAAAAATCACAAAAAAATAAAAATAAAAATTGCAAAACGCGGACAGTCCAAATTGGCCAGTTTTTGCTCCGTTCGATCCGACATTCGTGTGCGCAGGTCGCGCCCGCACTCAAGTCCAAGTCCAAAGGCTATTTTTGTCCGTGATTTGCACCCTCCCTGCGCGCGCACGTGGAGAGAGCCTCTGTGCTATATTTGATCACACCATTCGAATACATAACCATATATAAAGTGGTTTTGATTTCCATGTTTTTCCTATATGGGACAAAGTTTTCCCACCAATATAGACCATTTCCAATGGTCCACTTTAGACTCCAATTTCTCATTCACCCGAATTTCATTTTTGACAAATAAATACATGACTTCGATGTTCTCGCGGAAGAGAACACATATCAATTTTGATATTTCAAATTGGACCAATGACTCCCACCAAAAATTGTGCAAAAAGTGAGTCAATTCGCTCATTTTTCCAACAATTATAATAGAAACAATATGCATCACTACACCGACATTTTTATAGAGTCAATGCCATGTTTTTGTTCTGTCAAACATTGCATGCTTTGCTCTACCAAACACATTTTTCAGGGTAGAGTTGGATCGGCTGTTTAGCAAAACTTCTGCTTTTTATAAAATTCATGAATCACTTAAAATGTGTGGTTGAAAATCAATTTAATAGGTGCTTAGAGTTGTGGGGAAAATTGATGCCGTGTAGGTTAGTACAAAGTTTATGCGTGACAAGTTTATTTTATAATATAGGATGGATTAAAATTTAAAAAAGAATAAATATTTGAGTCTCCTCCTTAAAATACACAAGGCGTGTCATTTCTAAATAATGGAATTTCATTTATTTGTCAGAAGTTGATTATGTGCCATTTTAGTTTCTAAGAGCATAAAACTATATGAAACATCAAAATAAGAATACAATTATTACATGAACAATTGAATTTCTACAAAATTATAAATCTTAAAAACACGTCCTAATTCAGTAGAAAATCTGATAGAATCTATATTTTCAAATATATGCAAGAACACCAATGCACTTAACACAAAATTGAAATGAAACTTAAAGCAAAACATGTGTTACTAACTACTACACAAGGCAATTAATCCCTTGATTGAGCTCCATTATTCAAAAATTCATATTTTCAAATTAATTTTCAACCACACATTCTTCAATAAAATAATATTATACGCAAACTTGAATTTTTTCTTTATTTTTAACCATAAATTCTCCATCAATCTACTATTCAAAATATATTATTTTTTCCAAAATAGGGCTCAAACAAGGGCTAAATAGCACATATCATACTGACAAGAACATAAACAAAAGCACAATCAGTATATTTTAGATTTACAAGGGGAAAAAAGACCAAAATTTAAACTTGTGTTCCAAAACACGAGGCAATGAAATAGAAGTATAGCACATATCGTCCCTCCCCCATTTGTAAAAAAATTATTATTTTTTCTTCAAACTCATTTTCAATCAATACATTTTTCTTACAAAATAACTTTACACGTAAACACACAGTTTTTACTTAATTTTTAACCACTCATTTTATAAAGAATCATTATTACAAAAGTTATTCTCCAAAAAAAATGGCTCAAACAAACCCATCATACTAAACTCAATGCAATTTAACTTATACAAGTAATCTAAACAAAATTTGTTAAATTATACATTACTCTGTGTAGTGCATTTTAAAAAATTGGATTAAAAAATTGTCTATAGAAAATAATCATTTAAAAAATCGCTTCTTCAATATTTAATCACAAAATTATCGTTCCAATAGTTTTAAAAATTAGGTTTAAAATTCAAATGCCTTGTAGAAGATTTTGAAAATTACTTATTTTCTGTTGTTCTTCGCCACTATCTTATGTCGTTGCTCATTTAATTTTTTGCACGTTTCGGACTGTTTTGATATCTTGCATGTGGTCTAGTATGTTTATGTGGGCTCAAGTAAATTTTGTTTTGTTCGTAACAAAGTTATTTGGCTCCCATTCGATTTCCATTTTTTGACCACAAAAATGAAAAATATGATCGTTATCTATCACATTAAGCCATTATATTTGACTTTCTATCTCTTATTTGGATCTCATAACAATTATATTTTTTTCTCATTTTTACAAAAAGGGTACCCAATGGTCCATTGATAAACTTGCAAAAGTGAAAAGGTATCTCTTATAAGGTCTTTAATAAAGATCACAATAAACAAAAAGATGAAGTCAAAATGATTACAGTTCTTAATGTAGAAATGGAAAATTCTCTTTATGTGCAAGAATATATTTATCACGATTTATGCAAACTTTATTTTCTTTCTATCATAACTTTTGGGATTGTCAAGTTTACTTTTTGTGATTGCCATGAATTTATCCTCTTTGATGCCAAGATTTACCATTTTAATTGTCATGAGTAGTGAAATTCTATTCTTATGATTGTCCTAATCAGTTAATAGTCGATCATTAAAATTATTTTATTTATATTTTATCTTAAAAAAGTTACCTGTTTTACTTTTAAATACAGGGTTACTTATGCTCAAAGTAGTGTTAATTTAAATTTTAAAATAAGCAGCTTTTTTTTAACTAATTACTCTTTATAATTGACTTATTCACTTATAAGTAAATTATCTAAGCATCACTAAACATTAAATAACCTTTATTAATAAAAAATGGCAGAAGTGAGAAGTCTCAGTTTTCAGTACTCAGCCAGTTACAATGGCGTCTTCTCTCTCCCCTCCGGAGGTCCCGATGGAGCTCCACGCCAAGAACAGAGAGAAACTCCTTAAATCCCTAACCCAGCACCTCTCAACCTCCTCTCGCCCTCTCCAAGGCTTCGTCTTTCTCCAGGTTTCTCATTTACTCTTTGTGTTATTCGATTAAAATTTTTGATTTGTTTACAGAATTAATGAAATCCGAATACGTTCTTTTGTTAGGGTGGTGAAGAGCAAACGCGTCATTGCACCGATCATGTAGAACTCTTCAGGTTCGTTTCAATGGATATTATATTTGATGCATTCAGTAGTCCATTTGTGGTTCATGCTTTCGAATATAGTTTAAAGCTGCGTTTGCAGTATGGAATCGGTGTCTTGAGATTGCAATTGGTTAAAAGTTAATGCAAGAGTTTCCTATTTTGAGGTCCCAGTTTTATGTGCCTTAAAGTGTATCATTGTCTTGAAGTTTAATTGTCTAAAGTCTTAAGCTTTTTGATGTTTTGGAGAAGGTTACAAAAATTCATATGAGGAAGTTGGAGAGAAACCTCTATATTATCCACTAATTTTATTGTGGCAAAAGATAGCTGAACTAAATTGGAGTTTTGCTGATGTCAGGCCATTTAGTACGTGAATGCACGATTTGAGTTAATGAGCACAAGACAACTATTGGTGTATTGTATTTGTAAGCAAATGTTTAAAACATTGAAAAATAGTTTATTTACTATTATTTCGGGTTGTTGGATTTCTGGCCTTCCTTTTGGTATATTATCAAAGCTTATGGTATATTTTATTTATATAAAAATCAGTTTTTGAGCTATATGTGGTGGAAATTTGATAATTTCAAATTTTTTAACCACGGTTAAGAGATTGGCACTTGCTTTTTCATTATTAAATTTGTACTTAGTGTAACAACTTAAGCCTCTATGCTTTGCCCAATTAGTACCAGAATTCAAAATAAATTTCTCACAAGGCAGAGGCTGGGGATTCTAATCTTGGAGGATGAGATAGAAATCCGTGAGGTGTATGATGGGCTCCGACTCTTTCAAAATGAATAGTATGTGTATATCATGGACCCACAAGTACTATCTACTTATCCACCACTCATTTGTATCAATTTATAATTTAAATCTTTTATAAACAACACCAAAACATGCTTTAGACCTGATCATTTATTTTTTCTGGATGAAAATAGTGAGATGACAGGGACCATGATACAGTTACTAATGAAAATGTAATAAATGGAATTATAACCATTTAACTGGGTTGGAGATGACAGAACTTGCTGTATTATGTGTCATAATGTGTATGGAGAAGTCATGATTGCTTTATTCTGTTCTACATCTAAATTATTTTGGGTTTCTTCAAATCTCATATTTCTTTATTTATATGCTATACCATTTATCTCATCTAAACTTGGGTCCTTGGATTGCTTGCAAGAATTTTTCTAGATTTTGATCCAAAGACTATGCTACCTGAAGGGAAATTATTGATTTTTATGCTTATATATCTATAGGGGATTGACAAGTTTAAGATGGATCTAAATACTTTGCATCCTATTTTGACCGAGTGCCGTGTTACAAAGTCGGAACTAGAGCTTACTCTCATTCAGTTCGCCAACGATATAAGCTCCGAAGCTCATGTTGAGGTTAACATTCTTTGTTTATGTTATTTTTTAGTTTCACGCCTTTTTTTAAGTGAGATTTCCTTGCCAGATATCTCATATATGAATGTTTCATGCAGTTTAATTATTCATAGTTCTCGCTATTTCTATGCCTGTATGGAAAAGAACATTGGCTTATTATATCTATGTGAACTGAAGTTCATGCCAATTATTAGAATAACTATTGATCACATCTTGATTCATTGATTGACAAGTGGGTCTTCTATACTTAATAGAACTTGTTTAGGAGATTCTGGCAATGTTGATACATGCAGTTTCATTGGTATTTAGATTCTTGAAGGTCACATGTGAAAGAGCATTGTAGGTTGATATTGCGAGTCGTATTTTCTTACAAACAATTTGACCGTAAGACAATGCCTTTTGTTTCAAAAGTGGTTTATATTGAGATGTGGCTAGGACACTTTCCCATCTAAATCCTTTCTTTCATTTTGTTATCCCTTAAAGATGTAGTGGGAAATAAAAGACCTTCCCCATGATAAAGAGTATCTAAACCTGCCACTTACTATGGCAAAAACATTTTTATCTATCTGTTCCATTTCTCCTCTTCTTAATTTTCATTTAAATTACCTTAAAAGGTGAATGTTTTTGACACTACTGCATGAAAATTGGAATGCGGAACCCACTTAATTTGGCTTTTGGTTCAGGGATTTCCTCCAAAAGCTTGATAGCATTGGAATTTGTGTATCAAGAACCAATAAAACTAATTAGGGGCACATATATTAGCATTGTTATTACTTTCAGTTTATTCTAGTAACTTCACAATACAATATAGTGTTGCTCAGAGGCGGATGCCCAGAAGCAAATTGGCTTGTAAAAAATGGAAAACTTGGCCCAAATTCGTGGTGAAATAAAATAAAATATTTTATACCTAATGTACCATTGGATACATACACATATACTTTTGAGTGGCCAAACACTTATATGTGCTTGTTTATATGTTTGCTGAAAATATTTCTGCTGGGGATTATCCGCAAATATTTCTGTTTGCTGAAAATGTAAATCTATGGCCTTCTATTGTTTGTCAGGAAACCAGAATCAAATAAACATCTTTGGTTATTGTAGAATAACAAGTTTCTATGCGTAAACACAAATTTGTCATAGTAATATTCATGGTTGTTGTTTTATATTCCAAGGATAAAAAAAAGGGAGAAACAAATGTATACTTGTAGCTCTAAAGTATTAGAACATAGGCAGATGGCAGACTTACTTGGTATATAGTGAGGATAAACAGTAGCCCATAGCTGATGAATTTTATCAGTGGACTTCATTTTAATGTTTCTAGCACCACGTTTGGCTACCGTTTATAATGTGTTTACAATTGGTCAAACCACTTTTTATTCGTATATCATGGACCCACAAGTACTATCTACTTATCCACCACTCATTTGTATCAATTTATAATTTAAATCTTTTATAAACAACACCAAAACATGCTTTAGACCTGATCATTTATTTTTTCTGGATGAAAATAGTGAGATGACAGGGACCATGATACAGTTACTAATGAAAATGTAATAAATGGAATTATAACCATTTAACTGGGTTGGAGATGACAGAACTTGCTGTATTATGTGTCATAATGTGTATGGAGAAGTCATGATTGCTTTATTCTGTTCTACATCTAAATTATTTTGGGTTTCTTCAAATCTCATATTTCTTTATTTATATGCTATACCATTTATCTCATCTAAACTTGGGTCCTTGGATTGCTTGCAAGAATTTTTCTAGATTTTGATACAAAGACTATGCTATCTGAAGGGAAATTATTGATTTTTATGCTTATATATCTATAGGGGATTGACAAGTTTAAGATGGATCTAAATACTTTGCATCCTATTTTGACCGAGTGCCGTGTTACAAAGTCGGAACTAGAGCTTACTCTCATTCAGTTCGCCAACGATATAAGCTCCGAAGCTCATGTTGAGGTTAACATTCTTTGTTTATGTTATTTTTTAGTTTCACGCCTTTTTTTAAGTGAGATTTCCTTGCCAGATATCTCATATATGAATGTTTCATGCAGTTTAATTATTCATAGTTCTCGCTATTTCTATGCCTGTATGGAAAAGAACATTGGCTTATTATATCTATGTGAACTGAAGTTCATGCCAATTATTAGAATAACTATTGATCACATCTTGATTCATTGATTGACAAGTGGGTCTTCTATACTTAATAGAACTTGTTTAGGAGATTCTGGCACTGTTGATACATGCAGTTTCATTGGTATTTAGATTCTTGAAGGTCACATGTGAAAGAGCATTGCAGGTTGATATTGCGAGTCGTATTTTCTTACAAACAATTTGACCGTAAGACAATGCCTTTTGTTTCAAAAGTGGTTTATATTGAGATGTGGCTAGGACACTTTCCCATCTAAATCCTTTCTTTCATTTTGTTATCCCTTAAAGATGTAGTGGGAAATAAAAGACCTTCCCCATGATAAAGAGTATCTAAACCTGCCACTTACTATGGCAAAAACATTTTTATCTATCTGTTCCATTTCTCCTCTTCTTAATTTTCATATAAATTACCTTAAAAGGTGAATGTTTTTGACACTACTGCATGAAAATTGGAATGCGGAACCCACTTAATTTGGCTTTTGGTTCAGGGATTTCCTCCAAAAGCTTGATAGCATTGGAATTTGTGTATCAAGAACCAATAAAACTAATTAGGGGCACATATATTAGCATTGTTATTACTTTCAGTTTATTCTAGTAACTTCACAATACAATATAGTGTTGCTCAGAGGCGGATGCCCAGAAGCAAATTGGCTTGTAAAAAATGGAAAACTTGGCCCAAATTCGTGGTGAAATAAAATAGAATAAAAATTTTTCCCAGTCCAAAAATTAATTTTAGTCCAACTAACTTCATTTCCAACTCAAGCCCAATGTTTAATTATTCAAATTTAGTTTCAAATTTAAAGAGTTCACTTATAATCAAATTAGTTTATTGTATAACAAATAATTTTTATTGATTAAAGTAAAGATAAATGATTTATTTTAACAGATGCCACACTTTTGACTAAATTTGAAAAGTAATTAAATTTTCTCTAACGTATTTTTTCATATATTTCTTATTTATAATTGTAAGTTAAAAATTTATTCATTTTGGCCATGAAATGGATGTTATTATCAAAAAAGTAATATGCTTTATATTTACTTTTATCAGTTAAAAATATATTTGTTCGAACTTTGTCATGAGTGTCCAAAAATATACTTTGACCCACTTTGTTATGAGAGTCGAGTTTAACCTTTTAAACTAAATATCTTGTGGCAAAGAGCATCTTTTCTGGTACAATTTTTTATTTTTTATTTTTAAATTTCAGCCTAACCTAACATGTCTTCCTGGCTCTACCTCTGGTGTTGCTTTATGTATTTACATACAAGTTGGAAGATAATAGTTTACAAATTCATAATTATCTTATACATGCCATTATTTCATCTTGTCATTTTGTTTGCCCAAATTACAATTCCAAATCATAAATGACCCACAAATTGGATTGCACGATCTGGTTTCTAAGATCACTTGGCATGGGCAGGGTGGATGAATAAAGCATGATAAACTTAAAGTTTCTGTTAATTTAATGAGTATACAAGCAATTCAATTCTTCCGCCAATGGGTTAAGAGCAATAGAGAAGAACTAATGGACAGAGCAGACTGCATAAGACTCTTTACTGTAATGAACTTACCTTATCCTACATGTAACGCTAGGGTCCTGATCGAGCACAACTAACTGTCTTCTTCCCTTTATGTAACCTTTTTATTCTTGCTTTTTAATCTTTGTTCAACTCATTTGTTCTTATCAATTTAATGTTCCTATGTAAAAATCTTAAAGAAGGATGTAGTTTTCCTTCCTTTTAGGTATGGTTATCTCATGTTTGTATGCATACATTCTTTTTGTGATAAATGGAGGTAAAATTATTTTGATTTTCTATTCTGTGCCTTGAGTAGGTTATGAGGAACGCAAAAGTGGGCATGAAAGAGTATCAGTTAGAAAGCTTGTTTCTTCATCACACCTATATGTATGGTGGCTGTAGGCATTGTTCATATACATGCATATGTGCTACTGGTGACAACAGGTAAGTTCCTTATCCTTCTTTTACTCTCTGGTAGAATCTACAATTACTTTGAATGATGGAACCGCCAATGTGCAGCTTTGGTCTGGGAAGGGAAGGAGTATTGAAATATCAATTTAACTAAAGTTTTCTATAGCTCATGTGGGGATTCCAAATTTATTAAATGGTAGACCAATTCTAGTCCTCTTTATCCAGTCTCTCTTCTTTGTCATAAGTAGCGAAGCTTTAGGGTACTTAAGAGGGGCTAAAGGTCCCTGCCATGGCACCCTGGGTTTTTTCTTCTCTCTATTCCTTATTATCATAATGTGTAAAATCACTCGACGTAGCTGGGCAATAGATTACTAGTCATTAACATTTCGCTTTCTCTTTGCATTTTGCATTTGATGTAACCTAGTTCGAAACATGTGTGGTGCTTAGGCCTATTATCATTAATTGCTTCTGGGGCAAAAAAGGGAACGTGTAGCTAAATGCAGCCCCCTGAATGAAATAGCCTGGTCATTGTTGTCTGAGCTTGAAGTATAAAATGAAATCTTGCCTTTGAGTTGGTAATGGAGTTCAAAAAACGTCACTTGCAAGTTTTTTTCATTTTTTTTTTAGTTTTTTTTGGTTTGCGGAATATTTTGCAGGAAGGCAATTCATTACTTTGTGAATATATAGGCCTGCCAGGGTAGGCTGCTTTAGATGATTTAATCAATACTTTTATAAATGAGAGAAGAGTCTTCACGAATGATGGATTATTTTACAATTAAGTAGAACAAGTGACAATATCATAATATTAACTATCATTATAAGCACATTGAGCTGTATTCTCAAAGAATGCCATCGAAAATTATCATTGAAAAGAAAGCTCTTAATCTTCAAAGAAATTTCCTTCTATAGTATGCTTGTTTCTTTTCTGATTTAGGCCTCACAAAAATGGAATGGGTATAATATAGAACAAATATGTTCAGACCACCAAATTACTTATTTTCCAAAATGCTCATGTAACATTTTTCGGAATTATCGTGCAACTCGCAGTTTGCTAGGGCGTTGTATCCCTCATTAAGGATTCACTATAGTTTGACTTTGTTTTCGTCAAAAAAGTCAATGAAGAACGAATACATGTTGTTGAGATGGGATATGTGATTAAGAAATATGGTTTATTTCTCTAGAAAGTAAAGTGATATAAGTACTATAGGATTATAAATTATGAACTTGGAAGTGTATACTTGAGTTGTTTATCCTGCATCCTGCTGCCACGCATTTTATGTAACGTGTTTTATACCGCAAGTGTACGGTATCAAGTTTTGTAATATAGTATTAGAGTAAAATTGTCGAATCCACAGGGATTGATATTTAAATCCTATCGAGTACTATAATTATTTCAGCTTTCACTTTATTTAGAAAATCAAACTTTAACACGATGTTTTATACTAAATTAAAGTAAATGGGATGAACGATGCAAGTAAATAAGGGCAATTTGTAAAGTTTCTTATTAAATTATGGATGCCTAGGGGTGATTTCACCGTACTATCGACAATGTTTTCCAACCGTTATAACTATTTCTATCAATCTTTCCAAAATTTATAGGCAAGAACTCTAAATTGATTTCATTTCCCTCTCTCGAGCACCAAATAGAATCTATTTCTATATTTTAATTCCAATATCTCTATTCCGAACTAAACATATAGAAATTATCAAAGGACCTAGTTCTTTATGTGGAATTAGCCTCAAAGATTCGCACTTCCTCTCGAAATCTACGAAATCTAGGTTATGTTATTCTTAGATCACACCTAAATTTACCTCTTTGGAGCGTAGAAATTTAAAGCATCAAATCAGTCAATTAGTTGCCAATTAATTGAAAGTATTGCGCAAGAACAACATAAATAAATAACCGGAAATATTAATTGAAATAATTATATAGGAATTAAAACATGTCTAAGTAGGTTACATCAAATCCATAGGATTAAAGTCTAGTTCATGATGGAAGAATTAAATCTAAACAAATTGATGAATAATATAAAGAGAAAAAGAAAGAAAAACTCTTTTGAAGCTTTTAATTGGAATTCCCCTTGATATTTTTCTTGCCTCCTTGCCCTTGATGAATTGTCTTCAATCTTGCCCCTTCAATTGTTGTGTTTGGCCCCTCATCTTCTTATTCAAAATAGGGTTTTTTGAATGTTATTTATAGTATGTTGGTATTTTGGACGAATTAGGGTTGAATTGAGCCAAGAAAAGATTCAAAAAATATAAAAACGCGTTTTCCTGCATGTCCGGCGCCTCGGCGCCCAATATGGGCGCTGCGGCTCAGGTCTTGCTGCTCAAATTCAGATTCATGGGCGCTGCAGCGCCCATTTTGGGTGATGCGGCGCTCGGTTCCATTGGAAACAACAGACTGCGCGTCCTTCGGTATTTTTAACATAACTTCTTCGTCCAATGTCCGATTGAGGTGATTCAAGATGCGTTGGAAAGCTAACTCAAAGAGCTACAACTTTGATTCAGACATCATTCTCCAGCTCGATCGTTTGCTTTGTCAAAAACAGGTCTCAATGTGAGGCTGAAATTCCAGAGCGTAACTTTTCGGTTGGAAATTGATTTATGATTATATTTTGCCTAAATCTGATCTCTTTGACATCTTTTCTCATCCAATTGACTCCTAAAGCTCTCGGATCTTCATCGTGAGGTTCGATACAGTTTTTAATTATTTGCATTTTAGTCCTGAAATTTTGGATCTCTTACAATTTGGTCCTTTAATCCAATTTCGCCGACTTTTGCCTATTTCCTTCAATTTAATAAACTTATATCACAATATCAAAACACACATTAAAATGCTCTAAATCATTCTCAAAGGTAACAAAATAATGAATTAAGTGGCATAAATATAATGAGTGTGGAGCACTCATCACCTGCTGTTGAGATCATCCATCCTTGTTCATGCTCCCTTGCATGCAATTGAGTTGTTTCTTGTAACGACCCATGTTTTAAAGATTTAAATTGTTACTAAAAGTTTCATTCCCTAGTTCAATAAACTTATCAAAGATCCCAATATAAAAATTTACGTTCCAACAATAATAAATAAAAGATATAGGAAACATAATCGATTGAAATGTGTCCCAAATCCTAAATAACAAATTTCACATGGAAATAAAACTAAAATACCGTTGAAACATGAAGATCTATAATTATTTTTATTGAATTCCATACTTTCTGGCATCACGGCTGTACTTTATCGCCCACCAACTAACTACTCATTCTAACTTGTGAAGAGTGGGGAAAAATTGTGAGTACATGGAATACTCAGCAGAACACGAAAAATCATAGTGCAATTTTGAATAAAAATATTTAAATCATGCGTTAAACATATCATACCATCATCATATCTTTAGAAACCAATAAGAGCTCAATAAACATCATCTCTTTGGTATTGGATGGTCATAACATACATATCATATTGTATTTTTAAACTTCCACAAGCATAATAATTCAACATGAAAATAAACAATTTAAATGGGATAAAACAACTGCATCTCGTTATTTTACCTTGTTAGATCAAATAAAGTTGAAAGGTAAAACCAAAATCACGTTTCAAATCTTTATTTTCTACTTATATGCCGTGTGTATGTGTATCTATATATTTTATTGCGCAAACAATAAACCTCATGTACGGTATTTAAATTAAAAGGGACAATAGAATTTTGATAGACTTAAAAGTGTGCAAAGTGACTTGTTCAACCAAAAGTCTCAACCCAAATATTTCGTAAAAGTCAAAGATACTTCACCCCTATCCAACCTACACATGGCAACCAAATCCTATCAAATCCCAAAAGCAAAAACTAAGAAATCAAAACCAGCTTCTTTTTTTTCTTTTTTTTTTCATTTAACCACACTTGGCCACACCCCCCCAATTTAAATACAATATTTTATTTAAATCAAAACCAAAAATAACTTCTATAAACTATAATATCTTAGGTCTAACTTGTCCGATTAAACTTTTCTCGAGTTTAATATACATGATTAATTACGAACTATCCAACGAGCCCCATATTGATATACTTATCTTCACTTTAGCGAAACCTAAAATATTTGGCCCAAGTAAAATTGTATTAATACATATATCACTTTAGTTCCCCAACTTTCCAAATTTAAAATATAGTATATAAAATAATTAATTCTAGTATGTGAAAATTTTCGGGACTTTACATTTCTTCTGCATCCTACTGTGCATGATGTTCTCACTGTCCACTTAAACCTCACCTATAATTAAGGAATCAAAGAATTCTCATGGAGACTGTTTGAATTTCCTTCATTTAACTTCTTATTGTTTGGATAATACGTTTGAGGTTTGCTACATGTTTCATTCAAGTTACTTTTCACAATGCTTATGAGCTTGCCTTTTTGTTTTCAACTCCAGCATATAACAGGCGAGTTTATGTTTCAAATAAATGTTTGCCTTGAATTTAGAATTCTAAGGTATATTCACTTCTTCTATTTTCCACGACACCCATATTACTAAGCATGAGGAAAAAGTTTTTCGCAGTCCCATTACCTGTAGCTGTTAGAACAGAATAGAAAAATAAAATTTAAGTGGCTGCTCCAAAATAGAATTAATATGATTTTGGCGGATTAAATTGCATGTTGGTTCATGGTTGTCTCAAATTCATCTCAACAATCAGTGTGTTTCTAAAAGGGAAAGATTTGTGTGGTTCGATTCATCTCTTTCCTGCTTGTTTTTCATCCAATGTGTAATTTTGGTTTTTTATTAAAAAGTTACTTATCATTATTAAATAGACAGGAGTTTCATTGCTTTAATCATTAGTTAATAGTTCTCTGTCATACTACAGTGCTGTGCTGCACTATGGTCATGCAGCTGCTCCAAATGACAAGGTATGATAACTATTATGTTATTGCCTTTTGCAGATTTATGCATAGCAAGCGAATAGTTTCTTTCCCACAGTGACTGATCTCTCTTTTTCTTTCTCACTTAAAATTCAAAATTTCATTTACTTGATTTCCATCTATTTCTTCTGTTATTCAAAGGAGTGAAATTATATGCAACAGAAGAGATGAAGTTAGAAATTGAAGAGAAATAATTGCATGGGAGATCATACTTTCTCCAGTTCAATAAAAGGCCAGGGGAAATAAAATTCTTCTAGTATCCTTCTTTTCTTAGAATTGTTCAGGCTACAATGACATTGAATTAACTGGTCAACCTTAGAGGCATGCAGCGTTTGAGTGATCATTATGGTTTTGAGTTAAACAATTAAGGAACATTAAAGATAAGAAACACTTGCCTGGTGGTGGCATGTGGTTGCGTGATGTCACTTTTCTCATAATACGTAATAGATGAAATTATATACTTCATAGATAAGTTGTATTGCATCTATCACTTGTTCTTGCATTTTTTCTTTTAATGTTTATCCAGAGGCCTTTAACTTATTTTTAAATCACCTTTACACTAATCTCTGTACATTGTACATCATATTTTAATGAGCTTTCATATCAAGTATGATTTGTAATGCCTTTATCCTTTTGAGACAAGTTATTCGTTGTGGATAAGAATCTAGTATATGCTGATAAACATAGTTATGGTTTAGATGGTTTAATGTCTTTTAGAGTTGTTTCTCCTATTCTAGATAGCACTTTCATAGGCTTCAAAATACAAGAGCTATATTTAAACATCCTATGGTTCATTGCAGACTTTACAAGAGGGAGATATGGCATTGCTTGACATGGGAGCTGAATACCATTTTTATGGTTCTGACATAACTTGTTCCTTCCCAGTGAGCCCCCGTATATCTTTTTTCATAGGCAAATGCATATTCCATCAATCAATAAAATTTTCTCCTTGCAAATCAGGATTTTGCAACTGAGGTTGATGCAATACACATACACACACATGAAAAAATGTGAAATTTACAAAATGTGAAAATTTCATTAATAAAACACCAAGGTTAGGCATGTACATGAGAAGTTCCTCACATAATCTATTATGTCCATATACTTATAAGAAGATACACCAATTCAAGAACTTTTTGCATTGATCCCGAAATTGATGTGAACGAAAGATCTATGATAACATGCTTACAGTTTTCTCTTTCCTTCTGTGACAACCTATGATATTCTGCAGCCCAGTGTCTCAAATCCCCTATTCTTTCCCACTTCTGTATAAACTCCACCAAGTCAGACGACATAGAGCAAAAAGAAGAGATTAGAGATCCTGATATTTAGCCACTTCACATAGTGGCAACAAGTGATTTATGGTCCCTTCGGCCCTCGCACAAAGGATGCTACAGTAGACATTATTTTTCTTCTTCCTTGAATAGTCACCTGCAAGGACCCTCATGAACCGCATTCCAAGTAAACAAGCAAGTTCTTCTCCTATTTTTTTTCCCTGTAGGGGGGCTGTTTTAGTTCTCTGAATTTACTTCCATGTGAAGACCACATATGCTACCTTGTATAGTGCTCACTAAAATGCCTCGGTAAAGAGATCCCATCTTTAGATCAATTCTACATTATAACATGGACCTGATTGTCGTCAGCTGGGGTACGATATTGTTTATTTATCTACCACATAGCATCCTCCAGACGATAAATAACTATACCATTGTTCTCCTTTATTTATTTCAGAAAGTTTGTACGCATTTGATTTTTCAGTCTTGACACAACTATTCAAAACTTTATTTGCATAAATTAGGTCCATATGTGTCTATTTAGGTATCTGGAATACTTTTCGACTTGATTATAGCATTTTTGTGAGGTGATCCTCTTAACCATGTTATGCAACATTCAGCAAGTGGCTTCTGAATAAGCTTGTGACAGTTTCAAACAATTTGTCGACCTGGCTTTTTTTCCAGAAAGAGTTACTATATGCTATATCTATGTTGCGTCAAGCTTTAGCATAATATAACTCTTGGATTATATTCTTTTTCTTTTTTCATTCTGAATGTTTTTTACCTTTCATGCTTCTTCCTTTTAAATTTAACAATGTTGATGGTCTCTTTCAGGTCTCAAACTAAATGGTATTTTATTTGATAAAATTCATTAGTTGGGATTCCTATATTTTGTTACACTGCTAAGAAATATAGTATCCCATTTTTTATATTTGATTAAATAAGTTTCTCTTACAGATATCTGATTGTAAGTGCAGGTAAATGGGACATTTAATCGAGATCAATCCCTCATATATAATGTGAGTATTTTTTTCTGTTTAATGTAGCTAATATATATTGCTCAGGGTTTGTCTCAACTAAAACAATAAAAATGAAATCATACTGCTGCTTGTAAATTTTTGTTTCAAGACGTCCAACTTGAAGTTTCTTCAGTCTGAATTGAGTTTCTTATGAGATTCTGGAATCGTATAAGGACGATACTACATCAGTACAGCACCGTGTTTGTACTTTCTGTCACAAGAAACCTAACTAATATTGAGATGCGGACACTAGTACATTCATGAATGCATGGGATAATAATATTTTATTTGTTATGAATGTCATTGTTCATGCGTCACTGACTATTATTCCAGTCTCGGTTATGAGACCACCATAGATTATCAAATTCTACAAACCGAGTAACCATAATTGGAGAATTTACAAGCATTAAGTTTAGGAGGTCTTGTTGGGCCGTCTCTAGTAGCTCAATTTCTTTCAAGGAAATACTTATTCAAAGGGTTAATGCCTTGTTGTCTCATTTATTACTTGGTTTGTTTCCGATTTTTAAATTTGCAGGCTGTTCTTCGTGCCCACAATGCTGTCATATCCAGTATGCGGCCTGGAGTAGGATGGGTTAATATGCACAAGTAAGACCCTGTAACTAGGATGTTCACTGAGAGTAAATGACAATTATTGAAAGTCAGGGTCATAGGAGAAAGATTAATTATTCTTTTGGGAAATTTTGTTTTGTATGAGTTCAAATTTGTACTGTGGTATAGAGTTTGTTCTGTATTAGTTTTGTGTTTACACACTTTCTGGAGCATGGGTCTTATAATGAATCTGCTGTGTACATGTTGCATCCCCGTAATTAAGAAAAATATTTCCTGAAATTTAATATTTTGTCTGGTTGCTTATGCCTTTCCCCTGATTATTAGATTAGCTGAAAAAACTATCCTTGAGTCATTGAACGAAGGAGGCATTCTTTTCGGGTATGTATATTTTCTCGATGGTATACTTTCGTCATTTACAACTTCATGTAAAGGCAGATAACTAAATTCTAACCTGTCTATGGTTCTTTGATATTGACCAGCGATATTGATGCTATGATTCATGAGAGACTGGGTGCTATTTTCATGCCTCATGGCCTGGGACACTTATTGGGAATCGATACCCATGATCCTGGGGGTTACCTACAGGTTAGTGATTTTATTTATTTATTCATTTATTTTCACTGCAGTTTTAACCGTGTGCAAAATGCAGTAAAATTTTACTTTGTTTCTTATGCTGAGATAAAATGCCCAATTCTAGGGAGCGGAAAGATCGAAAGAACCCGGATTGAAGGCGTTGCGTACAACTAGAGAACTCTTGGAGGGAATGGTATGTCTAAGCAATTATTCTAGTGTTATATAGCTTAATTTTTCTGTAGATGAGAGAAAATGGTGGTCCTCTTGGCTGCATAGCCTAGTCATTTGTTTGAGGTGCATTTCTTGTGTATTCTGTATTCTGAAAATATGAAAATAAAAATTAGCAACATTCAGGTCCCAGTCAACTCTTAACTAATACAGTTTAAAATCGGCTCAAGATTTGTTTGCATGATAATAAATCTAATGCATAAATCCATATTTATATCTCTGTTTCAAAGCTTGTTCATAAGCAGATAGCTTATCGCTGCGGGATGGAAATACTATGCTATTAATCAACTTAAATTGTTAGTCATGTTGGCTCTCGCTATCTTATCATCTGATCTTGGAATTTGAATGGAGTAGAACTTCTATGTGATTTTGTATGATGGTTGCATAATGGAAATGCAGAATATTTAACAGAAATCGATAGCCTAAATTGTGAATTATTGGACGTCCAATTTTTAGCAATGGCCAATATACTCAATCCTTATCATCTCATTTCAATACTTGAATTTTTCAGAATCATGATTAGAAATCATATTATCTTATCATTTTATCTCAAGACACAAATGCTTCTGGATGATAAATACGCTGGGATGTTGAACACTAAATTATCTTGAATGGTTAAACCACAGGTGATAACCGTGGAGCCTGGATGTTATTTCATTGATGCTTTGCTAGTTCCTGCAATGGAAAATCCGAAAACATCAAAATATTTTAACATTCAAGAGATAAACAAATTTAGAGGTTTTGGCGGGGTTCGAATCGAAAGTGACGTGGTATATCCTTTGCTAACCTTTCTTGATTATTATTATTTTTATTATTTTTTTTAATTTAAAATTTTTTTATATCTACAAAAAATCTGTTGTTTGCAGTCTTAATTTTAACTGAATTATCAATTTTTTGTTTTGGATTGAGCAGATATTATAATATCTTGAAGCTAGATGTGCTTGTCAATGTTATAAAATCTTGAATCTAGATGTGCTTAGTTTGTCCATATAAAAATGCTATTATGGCCCTGTCTGGCTTAGATAAAAATTAGATTTAGTAGATTTTGATAAAAGTTGATGAAATGCGTAGTTGAGAAATTGATAAAAGTTGCGAGTCCTATGAAATATATGGTTGAAAACGAGTTCAAGAAAACATGAGGCCAAACTGCTATACAAAGTAATATAATTTTCAAGATAAAGTGATATGCTAAATAAATACCACTATCTTATTAATGCACTCGAACTTGTGAAATTCACAATAATCACATCTATGTACATCGTTCTTATTTGTTGCTATCTTTGTATATCTTCAGTATGTCACCTCGAGTGGTTGTGTGAACATGACGAAGTGCCCGCGGGAGATACAAGAGATCGAGGCAGTAATGGCTGGTGCACCCTGGCCTATACCCAAGACAACTATTCCTTCTGCAAATGGAGAAATCTAATCCATCAAGTACCAAAATTGAGCTTGCCAGATAATACATTGTAGTTTCCTTTACGGAATTATAAAGGTGATGCATATTTCGTCCTTGTGATTCGAAGTTCTAAATAAAACTTGAAGCAATGAAAACATTCATTGTCAGCTGGGCAAGTGTTTAGATTCATTCAGTACTTCTCCGTCTGATCTAAAGATTGTACAAGCTTTGAATAAGGAGTTCTAATTATATAAATCATTGCTCTGTATTATGCTTTGGTTAATTGAGGAAAGAAACATGTTATCTCATGACAGATTTCCTTTTTAATTTGTGATTTTTACCTTGCACTTCGACTTATTATTTCTTTGGGACATTATGTCCTATTTATAGAACTCTTTATTTTTCGTACTTATTTTCAATCACATATTTACAAAATAAAATATTTTGTAACCACATTTTATAATTATCCAATTATATTTAAATTTAGTATTATTTAATTATAATTTGTTCTAAAAAAGTGGGACGAACTCTTTTAATGCAAATTTTGCCCTTTTTCGCTGGACTTCTTTTAAAGAGGCTTTAGAAGACTGAGGACTTTTAATGAGCATAATTATCTAAAACTGTTCCAATCCAAAATAATTTTTTAAGGTCTATAAATACCCTTCAAAATTTATCAATTTATTATGAAAGTAAATGAATAGATAAATCTTGAATTTTGCATTTTGTTTAGAATTTGATTAAAAGTTAACCTCTTGTCTTTAGATTAAGACAATTTTTATTTTTTTTAAATATTTTCATTTACCCATGTGAAAGAAGTTTGAGAAGAGTTCATATTGGACTAAACTAGACAAGTCCAATCCATGTTTAAGGGGGAAAAATAATTTGAAATTCATTTTTCTTTTCTTTTTTTAATTTTTTTTTTCTAAATAAGCATGTAAATCTAACACTTGGAACATATTAGAATTTCGCGGCAGGGACAGACTAAAAACTAAAATATGATCATTGGATACGATAAATGTCATTTGTTCATTCCATGTATTCCGATTCCTCATAGATAATTTCTGTACCAATTATTCATTGTCTGTGTCAATTGCGAATATTGTTGTTGGATTAAACAAAATCTTTTATTCACACACAGTTGCATAAGGGAGAATTATGGACTTCGAATATTTTGAAAGTCATATACGGTAAAATAATTGACACAATAACTGCTTTATCTCATGCTTTGTGGGGCTCGTGAGTTGATGCCAAATTTTATTTTCTTTCCAAGAATTGAGGCCAGCCGGCTCTTAATTTGAAGTTAAACTCTTTTAAGATTTATTCGTTGTTTTTATGTTTCTTCTTTTTTATTGATGTAAAGTTCTATCTAAACTTGGAATCTCTTTGTTTTTAAGCCAAAAGAAAAAGAAGGGTTTTAGATGGAATTAATATATTTTGATGTGTGAGAGAGAGAGAGAGAGAGAGAGAGAGAGAGAGAGAGAGAGAGAGAAATTTCGATATGATGCCATGGGTATTGTGGGGCCATTACACGTGGATCAAATCAACCAATCAGAAACAACAGGACACGTAAGAATCTTTGCACCATAAAATACGATGTCATACCACTCCAATTTAATGAAAGAAATTCGTCAGAAAGACTGAACATCAGGATTTAACGTCCATCAAACTAAACAATTGTAGAGAGAGTTTGAGAGAAAGGGAGTAATGGCGAAATTTGATCGAGCTTCTTTATTGTTAGGGTTAACCGTAACAGTGATAATGTCATCATGGATACCAATATCACAGTGTGCGAAGAAACCAGTTGGGGTGGCAAGGAAAGAGGACATACCTTTCATAAAATGTCAAGTCTGTGAAAAGTTGGCATCTCAGCTGTATCACCAAGTCCAAGCTAAACAAGCCGAGATCTCGCCCAAAATAGTAATTTTATTTTCTGTATTTATCCCTAAATTCTTCAATATGTTAATTCAAGAACTGGGCCACTTATATTTGTTAAAGAAAGTAATTTTATTGTCTGGGTTTATTCTCAAATTCGTTAATTCAAGATCTGGGCCACTTATTCTTGTTAATATTATCTCTCTCTTTTGCTGAATTTATGTTTTATACTCAATTTTTTAGTATATATTGTTGTGTCTTTGAGTAGTGTTACTGTTTCATCAGGCGTTTTCTCTTGTTAACTGAAGTCTCGTGATTCTGTAAAGATTTGCTTTCTTTCATTTGTAATAATGTGATAAGTGGATAAATGATTTATGTATTTTTGTTTGTGTTGTTGTCATCTGATTATGATCAAGCAGATCTCCGAATATCAAATTATTGAAATTGCGGAGAATGTTTGTAATTTAAAGAAGCAGGAAGCTGATTGGATCCTGAAAATTGACATTGTAGAGCAAGGTGATAGATTGGAGGTAAATATGTACTATTTCAATTCCTGGATCTTTTAGCATATTATTAGCTGAGTTTAGTGTTTGTAATGACGCATGCTTCTAGGCTTTCTTCACTAATTCTGGTGACATCCAGTCTAAAAATGGTACAATTAAAAGTTATATTCCCAGGGAAAGTGTAAATGATTATCTTGAAAAAGTTACCGACTAACTTAAGTGCTTGTTTGGATAAAATTCTAATGGGATAAAATGTGAGGACATTAAGTGGGTAGTTGTCGGGAATGTGTGGCTAAGTTGACTTTGCTTGAAACTATAATGATATTTTAATTTTATCCAAGCATGTTAGTATTCAGTGCTAGCTTGAGGTTTCTGACTTTGGAACTCTTCTGTTCAGCTCGTTGAACAGGTCTCTGAAGGACAATGCGGGTCAGAATGCAAAACAATAGAGCGAGCTTGTCAAGAGGTCAGGTTTCATAAAAGCTGTGTAGTTTTGGCGCCTATGACTTGCTGACTGTAACTTCCTATAAAGCATTAGTATTCAATTTCTTCAACTCCTTATTTTGAGTTTACTGACAATGTTTTTTTTTTTTTTTTTTTTGGTCACAAGTCTCTGAGAAAGCTCGACTTTGAATTTGCTTTGGTTCTCTTCGTGGTTATATGGTTTCTTTCAGTTATTCTGTGTAATTGAGAACAACTAAGTAGCATTTCTACATTTTATTGAATTCTTCTGTTTTCTGACTTTTAGATATCTGTCTTTTCTCTTTTCAATATTCCTTATGTTTGGGACAGTTTTAGCAGCGAAGGCATGAAATTCTGCAACTAAATGTAGACTCTGAAATTTTGCAGGTGTTGGGCTACTCTGATACTGATGTTGCAGAATACCTGTATAAAAACAAGCCAGACCTTCATTCTTTGGTAAAATTTATCTGTAAGGACCTTACCAAAGCATGCAGTAAAAAGCCACCACCAATTCCTAAGGTGACTGCTTTGAGTATCAGTACTTTGTGGTACTTTGCTACTTTTTATCGTTTTATACTCTTAGTTGTTAAGTATCAAATACTATTCATGACCGCGGAATTGATGTTCTTCTTTTCCAAATGGTTCATGCCAATAGCTTAATGTGTTACACGTGTAGACTGCATCTGCTTTCAGATAAACCATGTCAGTTTCATAGCATCTTCAAAAATATCTCTTCTCCTTAGAATTGACAATTGATAGACAAGAATTTCTTAATTTGAGATACCCCTTTTGTCTAGAATGACCTCCATTGACCTGGCACAATATTTAGGAGACTTTAGTAATTCCACATTTTTACCATTGAATCAATTCATTTTTTTCTGTGTTGAACTTAATCAAATTGTGTCAAAAATAGATTCCTGTCATATTCAGCATATGCGGCAAACAATCATAGTTTTTCTAAAATTGTTAACGCCACCATCATTTCTTCTACCACAGCCAGCGCCCTATGTCAAATGCCTCCAAAAAATGATAAGGAGCAAAAAAAAGGACTGTCCACAAGAACAAAATTACAGAGAAAGTCAATCAGGTATTGAGGTGTGTTGAGGCATTTTTGAAGTATGCCTCAAGCCAAACCAATAACTGATTTAAAAGGATATAGAAATATAAAATTTGTTCATAATAAACCATAAAACATCTTATAAAATCCACCAGAACAAATTATAAAAATTGAAAATCTACCCTCCTATATTGGAAGTCATTTTCCCAAAAATCTTGATTACTGGCTAATGCAGAGTAATTTGCCTTGTTTACCCAATTCTGGCACCTTCTTTAACCTTAAGTGAACACATAAGAATTAAGGCAGCAGGCAAATTTCCCTGGGTTTTACTATGTGCACACCCCGGTGTACAGCCCCCCCTGTTGTGAGGGGGCTGTACATTGGCGTGTACAACCCCTGTGTACAAATCGCAAAACCCAATTTCCCCACTGCTTCGGTTCTCTAGTATCAATGAGTGAGCATGCCCATTTGTGTTCGAACAATATGGTAACAAAATGGAGTACTTTTGCTAGTTTTCCAATTAGCTCAGGAAGCTAATGAATTATCCAAATACTGTTTCGAACTTATTTAGCCCCCGTTTGATTCTTATTCCTTCGCCAAAAAAATAAAAAAATATGACCATTATCCATACATCAAGCCACCATATTTGGCTTTTTTATCTCGCGTGAGTCTCGTAACAACTATATTTTTCATTTTCATTCTTACAAAAATGAGTACCAAACAGGGCCTTAGTGATTTTACTTTTGGTGCTTGGAAATGCATATTTGATATTATGTCGTTCGTTACCATTCGTATTTTTTCTTGAGAAATTTTTCTCTCATGACCAAACTAGTCCTTTCATAGAGAAAGGGGTATTGGGTGTTGGCTTCTATAGATCTTACCTTGAATACTTGATGGCTGGTTTGTGTTCCCGTGACACTCCATCACGCCCCAGTTGCATGTATTTTTTGCTTTTTAAATGAGAAATATAATAAAATATATAAAATTACAAGTGAAAACTCCACCACAATTTCCAACACTAGACCTTGCATTTCTTTAAATTAATTGCGAGAAATCCACCACAAGTTCCAAGGTCAGACCTTGCAATTCGTTTATGTAAGCTGTCAACATCTTTATTTCTTGAATTCTTGAAAGCACGTATTATTATACTTATATACATGTCAAGCATTTGAAATGGAGCCTTTGACTTCCAATTTAAATTTGTAAAGCATTGTTCTGTATCTAAATTAGCCTGGTGAAATAAAAATACTACAGTGGACACCTTGCAGCCTTCTCTAACTTTCAAAGGAAACCTAGAATTTCGATGATGGGGTTAAGATAAATTGATATCGAGACGTGTGTGGGTGAATTACATTAGTTGTTTAATTATACTTTTCCTAAAATAAATTTCTAGATCCGCCCGTAACTTTGATTAGATGGCTGACAGCCACCACTACCTTCAAAGTAATTCAATCTGATTCAGGTTTCTGAAAAAGTAAAATAACTTCAAGTGTTATTCATAATTTTTTTTTTATCAATTTGGTCTTGTTATGGTTTTATCTATCCAGCTGATTCTTGAGTGGATGATAAAGTTGCACTTAATTTGATTAAAATTTGGATTTGTTGTTCATTTAGGAATTTGTTTAGATATTGTTTTCCAAGAAGCTTTAGCCTGGATATATTCTGTTCTTCAAATGCTCAATTATCATCATGTCCTCTTGCCATAACACATTTTTGTTTTAGATGTGCATTAAAAAGGATCGTATCTACTTGTTTGCCACATTCATATGAGAAGAATGTCCTGTGACTTGGTATGCATAATTTTCCTTCTTTTCCCTTTTTATTTTTTCCCCTCTTCAGGATAGGACTCCTGGAGAACCCTTTATTGCCAAGTCCTCAAAAGAGGCTGAAATGGATAAACTATTAAAATCCATGGAGGTACTTATGCATACTTACAAATATAAAATTGTTTTGGCATCTTGTTCGGACTTCGGACTTTTAAACTAACTCTTAACCCTCACCCCCGAATTCAGGGTATGCCTGGAGCACCCAGCATGAAAATGTACTCCAGGGAAGACTTGATGAAAAATATGGGTGACGTAGATGCAGAAGATGAAGATGAAGATGAAGACGAAGACGAGGAACCTGACTTCCCCTCAAAATTGGTACTAACGAGAATTTCATATATTAATTCATAAATTCAAACTATGCAATATGCTAAGCTGCTATCAAACATTGCTACAGGGAAAAGTCTTGAGAGAAAAAGATAGTAAGAAGAATGATTGGAAGCAAAGGATCACTAAAGGAGTCGTAGACACAGGCAAGAAATTGAAAAGTCACGCAAACAGAGTTTCAAATCGGATAAGACAGTGGTGGAGTGGCAAGAAAACAATCTTGAAGAACAAGAGTTCGAAGTCCAATAAAGCCGAGCTCTAGGCCGGAGATTCGTGTAAGCAAACAGCAGTTCCTGGCCATTTTTATTTTCACCCAATTATTTTGTATACTTTTCGTATTTCCTAGCACAATTGATAGCCCGTGTCATCAATTTTTGTATTTCTTTCTGACTGCCTTTTTGATCTAGTTGTGGTTGCTATTTGTAACTTCAAAATATGCTCTTTACACATGAATGTAGCTGTCAGCAGCAAGTGGCGGACTAGCCTTTGTTTCTTCTTTTGATTAGATTTTCATTCTCAAATACTTGTGTTGATGGAGATCGCAAGGAAGACGATACATTATGTTCAGACTCGAACTTATCGACTTTGGCCTAGGAACTCTTTCGAATTTGAGACTCATTAGTGTCAGATGATGTGATAATTTTACATTTGGGATTTATATAATATTCTCTATGTTTTGATATAAAGAAGTCAAATCAAAGCTTTATTCCGAGCCAATCAATCCATGGTTCACCAATCTTAGTACACAAGTCTATTCCAGTTGAATCTTATCCTCACACAACCTTAACTCGAAGATGTAACTAATCAAATTGTTTGGATTACTCATATGACATCCCTCAATTGCTTATATGAGGTTCGTAAGCTTCATTTCTATGATTTGAAGTATGATATTACGTGCTTGAAATTGGAAAGAGGACAATTGATGTCATATACTTGGAAGTAAACTAAGAATCGCATATTAACACACTGAGAAGACACATAAATGAAATAATAGCAAACTTACATTATGGGAAAATAAAATGATAAATATATGTTGTTTGTTTGATCCTAAAAATAACATATACTTTATTGTTGTTCATTCTTGCGCTCATGCTACCCAAGCTCAAAAAACGCAACATACCATGTCTATCCTAGGATCAAGAGCTCCGCTTGGGTGTTTGACTGTAGACCCCTAACTCGAGATAAACTTGCTCGAAGTTGGGTGTCAAAGTACTAAGAACTTTGACGATCAACAATATATATATTTTTTTAAACGTATTGTAAACAAACATCGAGTCTTCTTAAGTTAAGTAGTCGAGGTGGGAACATAGAACACAGTTTTGTCCTGAATTTGTCCAAATTCATATATTTTTTTAAAATAAAATAAGAGGAAATTTCATCAAATGTCCATTTTTACCTAGTCATTTGCAAAAATGTCTATTATTGCAAACCATTGCAAAAATGTCCAATTTGAAAAAATTTAGACCTAAATACTCTTATTAACAATTTTTAATTTCACACTAAGACAAAAAAATGGACATTTTTGCAAAATTGTTATTGGTGAATAAAATTTGGGCAACTTACAAAAATACCCTTAAAATTAAGGGTGTTTTGAAAAATCATATGAAAAGGTTTTTGAAAGTAAAAAACACTCTGTAAAATTAAAAAAGTGACATTGCGTCACTTTTTTTTAAACACAATTCAAAAAAGTGACACAAACTAAAAAAAAGTGACAAACATCATAATAACCTCATTCATTTGTGCAACTCCAATAATCATGTTCTTAATTTAATCAGCATGTCCAGGACAATCCACGTGAGCGTAGTGGCGGCTCTTATCACATATCACGTCACATTTTTAGGAAGATAAGAAAGTGACAAATAAAAAAAAATAATAAACAAAAATTGACAAAAACCTAAAAGGTGACAAACTAAAAAAAGTGACAAAATCTATAAAAAAAAAAAAAAAAAAAAAAAAAAAAGAAAAAA